AACAAAAAAGATATACAATAACAAGTGTTGACGAGGATATGCAAAAATTGGAATGCTTGTACAATATGTTGCTGGTGGGAACATAAAATAACATAGCTACTATAGAAAAATTTGGCAATTTCTCAAAAAGTTGAACACAGAGTGACCATTTTATCTAGTAATTCCACTTATAGGTAGATACCTGAGAAAAATAAAAACATATCCATATAAAATCTCATAAATATTCATAGCAACATTTTTCATAATAGTCAAAAGGTGGAAACAACCCAAATACCCATCAACTGATAAATGAATAAACAAAATGGGGTAATATTATTCAGACATGAATGGCAGTAAAAAAAGATAATGTCATGATACACACTACGGTACGGATGAATGTTGAAAACATTACACCGAATCAGCAATTTTCAATCAGTGTGCTGCAACTTTTTTTTTTTAATTTTAAAAGTTTATTTATTTTTTAGAGAGAGGAGAAGGGAGGGGGAAGAGAAGGAGAGAAACACTGCTGTGAGTGAGAAACATCAATTGGTTTTCTCTAGCAAGCGCCCCAACTGGGGACCAAACTCGCAACCTAAGCATGTGCCCTGACTAGGAATTGAACGGGTGACCTTCAGCTTTGTGGGAGGACACCCCACCAAGCCATGCTGGTCAGGGCACTGCAAGAATTTTTAAAACATGCAATACCTCCCTAGCCAGTTAGCTCAGTTGGTTAGAGCGTTGTCCCTGTACACCAAGATTGTGGGTTCGATCACCAGTCAGGGTACATACAAGAGTCAACCAATGAATACATAAATAAGTGGAATACCAAATTCCTGTTCCTCTCTGTGTCTCTCTCCCCCTCCCTTCCTCTCTCTAAAATCAATACATTAAAAAAAATTGGAATAAAACATGCAATACCTGACTATTTAGTCAAGGGGACTGACCTCTTTTCCCTTATGTTGTCAAATTAAAAAAATGACAACAGCCAAGACAACAATAGCCATTTGGGGTGAATGAATCAAAATTATACCTATTTTTTTTGTCAGATCAGCAAAAAAATATATACTTTTTGTGTACTACAGAATTTTAGTAATTAGTTTGTGCCATGAGGTGAAAAAGGTTGAAAATCACTGTACTAAATGAAATAAGCCAGACACAAAAGCCACACATTATATGATTTCATTTATATGAAAGAAGCAGAAGAGGCAATTCCATAGACACAGAAAGTAGATAAGTGGCGCTGGGGTCTGGGGGAAATAGGAAGTGACTGACAACGAGCTGGAGTTTTTTGGGAGAGTGATGAAAATGTTTTGAATCAAATTGTGAGGTAACAGTTGCACAACTTTATAAATATACTAAAAAATCAGTAAATTATATACTTTAAATATGTAAATTTTATTGTGTGTGAATTTTATCTCAACAAATAAAAACTTAAGGAGAAAAAGTTACATGAAGAGGGTTAGTACAAAAAAGAATGGAGCAAAGTATACAATGATGCTAGATGACAAAGAGTAGGCAGAAGTATTCTTCTTCAGCTTTTGTTTTTCTGCCAATAGTTTGTTCAAATAGGCCAAATAAACATCCTTCAAAGAAAACTGAAGTTCAGTTGAGGCAAGGTGACAGACAGTAAGCCTGGAGAAGGTTTAGGCCTACCCCTCCAATCAATGGAACAAAATATTGTCAATCTGAAATATCATTACAAGATGCAGAGTGTATCTGACCCTGCAGGCTCATATTAAGCGTAAGTAACAGAATTTAAAACTGTTAATGAAATATTTGATTTCAAAGCAACAACATTTAGCTCAAGCAATTATATCCACCACACACGGTCTGGTCAAGTATCACCTAAAATGCTAAGTACAGTTCTAGGGAGAAGGTGTTAGAGGACCATCCTAGTAGTCTTCAAATGTTTTAAGGAGTCAATCCTGTAGAAAAGAGATTAGACTTGGAAAAAGCAAAAAATAGTGGAAACAGCATAGGCATTAATGTCATGAAGACCTGGTTTCAAACCTGACTCTTACCATTTACTGTGTTTCATTTAATGCTTAAAATAGAGATTAAGTTCCCTTATCTAGATGATACCTACCTCATAAATGGATAAAAATTAAATGCAATTAAGTGCAAAAATGTTTATAAGCTACCTGGCATAGCATGACATGCCATACTGTGATACACAATGATGTTAGTTCCTTCTTCTAGACTTTTCCTAGTTGTTCTGGAATAGTTTTTTTCAAACTGGGAGTTACAGTCCATTAATGGGTCACAAAATAAGCTGAATTGGTTGTTACCAGCATTTTTTCCTAAAGAAATAGAACAGAAAATATTAGAGGGTACCACACGTACTAAAAGTGACTGTAGCTGTGTGAAACTTTTGTTTCAATTATCCATATACATGTGTGTACTAGCCTACGGTGTAAAATGTACTTTTGTCATGAAGCTGGAACAAAAAAGGAAGAAGGAGTTGTAAAATCACTATTTCTAGAGCACTGTTTTCTAAGTATCTTCTACAGACACCAGTTCCTTAGGATGTCAGGTAAGTTTAGGAAACCACAACACTTAGAGATTTACTATATTCAATTCACATCAGCATATCAAAAAGTCCAGCATTAAAAAAACCTGTTTATTTTTGCTGAATTTCTATTATCCCATATATATTTGACCTCAGACCCTCCACTATTTTTTTCACACAGTATCTACTGACACATTCAGAACTGGCACTATATGGTACACAGTGGGGGAAATAAGCAATTCCTCTACATGAAAAAGAAGGTACAATGGGTGTGTTATGGAAAGACTTTAAGCTTACTAAAAACACCTCTTGACTCTTTGACTCTTCCTCCCTGGCCACTGACACCCACCCCCGTTCAACTTATACTCTGAACACATATCCCAAAGCACTTCAAATATATTTATCAAACTTTCAATTCATGCAGATTTTTTTTTCCAGAAAGTACAGAACATCTACAACATCAAGAAATGTAGCCAGGATCAAAGACGTAAGCAGGAACTACCCAGTCAAAAGTATTTAAGTATTTAAGACTTGCTTCACCTCAACAAATCCTACACTGTGAAACCAAAGCTGCAAGACTTAATCAGCTTCTGCAAGTGGAGTCAATGTGTTCTAATAATACATAATCTAAAATGGACTGATGAGTGCAGCTAACCCTCTATATTAGAGTCTCATTATCATCACTTGGAAGAGGCATGTGATGGTAATCTAAATATGATTATTTAGATGATTCTGGGTTCCCTTAAAGTGTATACATACCCAACATTCCTTTGGGAGGTTGTGATTTCATGCTAATATGAAACAATAGTCAATATCATAGTCAGTTCTAATAATATTTCTTATCACTTGACAATAAAATAAAGGCTTGACATCATCTGTTCAAGAGTACCTCTGTAATTCAAACCTTCCTAATTAGGAGTTACAAATATCTCTGACTGCTGCAGCAGTTGTCTGAGCATAAAATTCCCTTCCCACTCTCCCTCCCTCCAATACCACCTCTAGTCCTTAAAGTTTGCCCCAGCGACTGTGGCGTATTATTTCCTTCTCAATTTCTGATCACTCTCAGAACTTTTTGTTCTATCACTCTTTTTTGACAATTCACTGTATGTGTCCAGGTTATTTAACTGCATAGAACTTGGATCCCCAAAAGCCTGCAACTGCCTTAGTGGACAGGCATCAACTTTTAAGACTCTTTAGAATCTTCCACAGGATCTTCTTCTAAGATCTTGGAAATATTTCTTGGTTTAAATAACTAGGCTTAAGAGTAAGAGCAGCTAGCCTTGGAGAGTTTACTGCATGCCGGACCTAGTGCTAAAAGCGTATACGGATTCTTTCAATCTTCACAACTCTATAGAGGTAAGATCTATTATTTTCTCCATCAAATAGAGGAAGAAAATGAGGCTCAGAGTAATTTGCCCAAGGTCATACAACTACTAAGTGGCAGAGCCAGGGCCTGAATCCAGGCAAAGCTCTTAACCACCTCAGAGCGCTGTAAAGTTATAGTCCTGCAATTACCAGAGTCCATGAAGGATTCTGACTTCTCTAACATGTTTCAATTTCAACAAAGAGTAGAAACATTTTAGCCAAAAGTTAAAACTTCATAAAAGAGTAAATTAAGAGAAAGAATTTCCCCTAGACAGCTTTATGCGGTTGCAATAAAATATGAGGGGAATTGCCTCTCATATCCTTTCTATTTATGGAAGTGACATGACGGTGCGGGTCACAATTTTATCAAGAAGTTGGCTTATGAAAATAACAACTTTGGCTTTCCAAGAGCCCTCTTTAAAAATGGAAAGGAAAGACGGATGTGATAACCGTCCAGCTCCACCAAAAAAAAAAAAAAAAAGGGGGGGGGGGCCAGACCCAGTGCTTGTTACAGAAATAAGAGCCACGGCTCCTGTTCCACCCCTGACTCTTACACAAAGCGGCACCATCCTCTGCCCTCCCTACACAAAGCAGGCTTTACCCTACTGCCCGAAGGGGAGTGCTGGTTCACACGGTCTCCCCGTCGCCGCCCGAAATGCACCCACATCCCTCTTGTCCAGAACACCGCCCACTGCACAGAGGCCACTACGGTCAGCACCGCTCCCGGAGACACCTCATCAAACAGACCCCTCCCCGACACAAAATGCCCAGGCCACCCTCCCAAAGCCAGTATGTATTTATTCCCTGTCACACAAAGCAGGATCCCTTCCTACTCGCAGTTTCCCACCTCCGGCCCCTCCCACGACGAGCAGCCCTTCCCAGGCTGTGCCAACCTACAGACCCCAACGGGATCCCAAACCCAGAGGGTGCACAACCCAGAAGAGAACTGGCTAGCGCATGCCTCGAACCCCAAGTCCGGTTGACCTTCCCCAGCCAAAGTGAGAAAGCCCCGAGTCCCCGTTAGAGAACGGATCCGGCTGCACAAAGCGAGGTGTCCCGCCAGGTGCCCTACCGGGGGACCCTCGGAAGACGCTCTCCGCCCCCGGGCTCGTCCCCGCCCAGCCGCGGCCCGGCGCCCCGCGCTCACCAGCTCTCCTCCTCCTCCTCCCAGCCTGACAGGCGCTCCAGCTCCTCGGGCCGCAGCGGCTCCACCTCGTCCAGCAAGCCGCCCTCGCCGGCTGCCAGCAGGGAGGTGGCGTCCCGCAGCTCCTCGCTACTCGTCCGCCTCGGGCCCGACCCGGCCCCGCTGCTCGACTTGACGCTCAGGCCCAAGGGGAAGCCCCGAGGGGACGCCGAGCCGGAGGAGGGAGTGGACGCGCCGGCTCGCACCGGGCTACCGGGCCCGAGGGAGCCGGCGCCCTGCACGGCCCCCGAGCGACTCCTAAGCTGTTCGTTCTGCTTCTCCAGCTTCTTTACCAGCTCCTGCAGCTTCCGCACCTCCTGGTCCGCGTTCACGTTGGAGTTAACGTCCTCCATCCCGGCCCCGCCGCCTCTGCCGCTCGCCACCCGCTCAGACTCACAGCCACCAGTAAAGAGCCGGAGCAAAGAGGCGTCGCCGGCGTCGCCGCCGTTGCCGCTCACTCTAGCCGAGGCGCCGGCATAGAGCAGGGCCAGGCCCCACCGCCAGCGTCCCCCCAGCTCGGGTTCCGAAGTGCCGCTGGCCCCAGCCGACCCGCCTCATCTGCGCCGGCTCCAGGATTGGGGGAGGCGGCGCCAATATCCGGCCGCGGCCGCCATCTTCCCTCCGTCCCTCCGCCCCCCGCAGCCCAGCCCCGTCGGTGACCTCAGAACGTCGAGGATGGACGCGGCCCGGGCGGGCTCAGGGAGGACCCGGTGTAGAGCTCGCGGCGGGGCGGGGTGAGCGGGCGGGGCTTGTGCCGGAAGGGGCGTGACCGTGCCTTCAGCGGGGGTGGGTCTCTGCCGGGCTGGCAAGCGAGGGGCGCTACTGCCTCGGGCGGGGCCTGAGCCCGGAGAATCGACTCGCTCCGCTCCGGCCATTGGTCTTGGATGAGGGGCGTGTTGTGTGTTCTCTACCCCCTAACACTGGCGTGTGGAAATGCAGACGGATCCTGTATTCCCTCCCTGCGGATTCTCTGAAGAGCACTCAGCCAGACCCCAAGGAAAGACAGTTTACATTGTCTGTTTGTTCAGCAAATATTTATTCGAAGACTTCTTGAAATAGGAGATTGGCTAGCCGGAGCCTCAGAAACCAGCTGTGACCCATCTCTGCAAGTGAGAAAACAGAATCCCAAATGGCTAAGAGAGATCTAAGGTCAAAATAATAACCATAAATTGTTGAGTGCTTACTAGGGCCAGACACTCTGCTAAGCACCTTAAAGGCTTTATCTCACCGAATAAAACATAGTTTTCCCGACACTAAAGTGGGGTGTAGACAACCGCTGGTCTCTCCTTGCCTTTGTCCGTGTATTGATGCATAATCTGCTCTTTTGATCAGTTTTGTTCTGAAAAACTTTTACATTGTGTCTTGACTTTTTAAAAAGTTGTATATTAAAAGTACTTAATAATCATGTTGACATATACCGATGAATGTTGAGAGATGTATGAATGTAAAAATCCGCCTTCAGTGGCACCTGTTTATAACGTGTACTACAAGCAGCAAAACAAAATTTAAAAAAACACTTAAATGCTTTGTTTCGATCACTTTTATTCCTCTTCATATGTCAATTGTGTACTACTTGGCTTGTGTTTGCAAATTTCCTCTAATTGCCTCCTCCACCCATAGCTAATAATTATCCAGTCCCATTACACCTGGGTGTGGCCGTGGTTTACTTGCTTCTTCTCTTCAGCTTTTCTGCACTATATTTTCCTTGCCTGGAATATTCTACCTGCCAAATATGATTTCTTAAAACCCATGTTCACCTGTCTAGGAAACCTTTTCCTGACCATTCCACAAACATCTAGTTGTTATGTTTAGCATTACCTGATCAGTAGTTTTGAACAGATATCTGCAGTTTTTTAAAATTTGCTTTTTTAAAAAAAATCCTTTTTATTTTTGCCTGTATAGTAGATGAAAATGGACAATTCATTTTTGTTTTACATGTCTAGTGTATTGTTGGACACAATGGATATTCAATATCAAATTTATTGAAAGTTAGGTAGAATGTGAATTCTGACAGGTCAAGAACCAGGTTGATGTTTATTCATAGTAAAAAAAACAGCATTGAGTATTTTGAAAGTTTCCTGACTAACTATAAATAGGGTATTTCCCAGCTATCCATATCCAGTCAATGGATGCCTTTTTTCTGTTAGTACACAATAGTTGTGAATTAATATGTATCATCTGTATAATGCACATCTGAAGAGCATTGCTGTCTTGGATACATATGAACTAGTTGCCAGAACATTATGACTATTTCACATATAGCACTTTTTGCTTGCATTTAATGGTTTATGAAGTAGATTCCAAGTGGGCTGTTTGTGTGTTGAAGATACCTCAAACATATTCTTTGAAAGGAATAGTTCACATGACAGTATGAAGTTAAACACCGATATTCCATGGGGTAAGGAGAGTTTGGTGTGATGTGGAGCAGTGAATTGAAAACCAGAGAACCTAATGGCAGATTCTAGCTGTACCACAAACATGGTGTTTGACCTAATCGCTGATCCTTAAGCAGGTCATGCTGGCTCTATATTCAAAATACGTGTGAATATTTTCTAGCACCATCACTACAACTCTAGTACAATTTGTCTTTTCTTATGTAGATTACTGTGTTACTCTTTTAATGGGTTTTCCCACTCTGCTACTTACAATCTGTGATGCACACAGCAACCAGATGCTCCCCTGAGTAAATGAGATCAGATCACTTTCCCGCTAGGAATATTCCACTTGCTTCCCAACATACTTAAAATCCCAAGTCCTTTCCTTGGCCTATAAGACTGGATACTTACCAACTTCTGCAAGTATTGCCTTGACTACCACTCCTCACCTCCATCATACTACTTCAGCCACACTGGCCTTCTTGATTTCTTCAAACATGCCAAGCATGTTTCTACTTAAGGAACTTTGAACTTGATGTTCCCTCTGTCTAGCACTCATTCTTCCACCACATTGTCCTGTTACTGACTCTCTTACTGATTCTGGTCTCAGCTCAAATATCTCCTAAATTAATTATCCTTGTTATGACTATCCTCATAAAAAAGCATCCTTGCCATTCCCCATCCTTTTAGCCTGATTCATTTTCCCTAAGACATGTTATATATTTCTTCCTTTGTTTATTTCCTATTCCTCTTCAGTAGAATGTTAACTGTGTGAGAACAGGGCTCACTGTTCCCCTGGTGCCTAAGAACAGTGCCTACTATGCGGTAGGTGCTTAATAAATGTTGCATGAATAGGTGGATTTAGGTCATGTGAAGCCTCCTAAAAGAGAATTTCAGATAAATGTGTTTCTTGTGCCTCAAATCATTATGGTGGGAATGCTTAATAATGTTGAATGGTGGGGTTTTTTTTATTTAAAGTATATTTCCCTCTTCCAGAAGAGCAACATGTCACACTATATATGTCATCCTCAAAATTAGGTCATTCTCCACTTCTGAATGCCAACAGCCCTTAAGAATTGCTGAGAAGAGAAACCCTCAGGTTCTCACTAACGTACAAGGAAAAAAATATTTCCATTCTGTCCTAAACTGTGTGAGAATCTTTCTCTTTCACAATACTGTCTTCTCTAGTGACTCAAATGTTAGAGCATTTTTTTAAAGGTCACTCTAAAAGTTCCTCTCATATAGATACGAGGAGTAGAGCTGGTAGGTTGGGTGTCTGCAGTACGCGCACAGCCCGACTGGCTTTTCAGCTGTTGTCTTTTTTGATAAACTTACCTTGTTGCTGAATGAAGGACTTGCTTCTTTTCCAGGGAGGTGTGGCCCTTTCCATAACTTGCTCCTACTTGCATGTTAGCTCTGGTGAAACTCATGAGCAAGTGGAAAACATTACAAGCCACTAAAAGTATTTAGATCGAAAAACTATTACTCAATGGCTTAAAGGTATTTAGTAATCCAAAGAACTTAAATCAAGGGTGTGTGTGTGTGTGTGTGTGTGTGTGTGCGCGCGCGCGCGTGCGCACGTGTGTTTAGAAATTGCTGGGGCCTTACAGAAATGTTTGCATTTTTTAAAAATTATCAAATTCTTTGAGAAAAACTCTACTATCCAATACAACCATTTTATCTTCACAGGCACACATCTGGCTAGTCATTTCCTCTGTGTCTTCTCTTACCTCTTCCTCACCAGCATCATTCTCTTGATATAACTCCTTCTGGTCTATCTAGGGACCTCTTCTTTACTGCCATGACACATGCAATTTTAAAAAGATATTCCAGGAACTTTACAGGATAGGTACATGAGAGATTCGGGATTGAAATCTTGGGGGTAAAAAGAAGGGCCAAATATTTGGACTTAGAATTTTCCAGTCAGCATTGATCAGGTCTTACAGTTATAGGACGCCTTGAAAGTACCCATAATGGCAGGTATCCCTTCCTTAGAGAAGTCTTCTGGCCAGAGGGCAGCCCCCTAGCACATTGCTGGGGGCATGTAATATATTGATGCGGGGCTGAGGTGATCCATGATTGGGGCAGAGGTGAACTCCTTCTAGAACACTTAGGAGGATGCTGTCTCGGCCCCAGATGAAACAATACTTTGTCTCCCACACTCTCTATGGAAGGAAGTGGGAAGATAAGGTTGTTAAATAACATTTATTATTTCCTCCTTCCTTTAAGTCGTTTATCAGCAGGATAGTGAAGTTAAAAGAGTTAAATAAGAATCACTTCTGAATATCCATGATGTTCTAGAGAACCTACCATTCTATGATGGGAGAACACTTTTTAAGAATCATCCAGATGTCCACATTGACAAGTCCAGTAATCTGATCTAGGATTTCAAGTATACAATTCTGAGTACTGACTTAGAGATGCTATAGAGATAATAGACTATAAATATAGGCTTCTATTACGTAAACTGTCAGTGAGATATTTGTATAATTACTCTTCTACCAAGGAAGTTTGTAGAGAATTCCATTCTCAAATTTTTGGGATACCCCTAGGATATTACACAGACCAAAAGGCTCATCAGCTATTCAATTTGCCCAAGCATGTCTAGTAAGTTACTTTCTTACTCATCATCATTACATAAACATAATTTTATGTAGTCGGGAAGTTTAATCCTGTAAATATCCAGGTTTCTCTGAATTGGCCCAATACCAATAGTAGCTAATAATTAGTGACCACTTTAATGATATGTAATAATTCATTTTAAACTCAAAATAGTCATTGGAGGTAACTTCTATTAGTATCATCATTTCCATTCTACAAATGAGGAAGCTGAGACAGAGGTTAAATAATTTCCAAGATCCCATAGCTAGGAAGCAGTAGAGCTGAATTTGAATCCAGGTGGTCTGACTTCAGAATCTGCACTCATACTTCCAACAGTGCATGGCTAAGAGGAGTGCTCCATTGTTTTTCTTAAAAGACTCTGGATACCTCACTCAGCTACCATCTTGAATAGGGGTTGAGGGAGCAAGGGTCATTGCTTTTATGATACCCAGTGACACAATCCTCGAGAGCAAGTTGGCCAGTTTTGAAGTTTCAGAACATCTGGTTCCCAACATATTGAAAAAATGTGTCTCTTTGAGGGG